TGACCTTGGGCCTGAGTGGGGCAGTGGCAGTGACCTTGGGCCTGAGTGGGGCAGTGGCAGTGACCATGCAGGATGGATCCCACATTGTGGCTGCAGTAGTGTGTTGATCACAATAGGATGTGGCGGAGCAGGAGATGATCGGTTCAGTTAGGAGAATGTGAACTGGGAATATCCAGCCAAAGATGTCTGGTAGAAATATGGCTATAAAGGCCTCAAGAGAGAATTCTTGGCTATTAATCATTGGATTTGCCTCTTTTGTTCTCAGATGAAGCAAGCTCTGGGTTTGTCAAATTAAGTTACTACCCAAGAAGCAAATATATTATAAAGAGAGCTAATCCCAGAAGATTACTGTTCTGCTGGCTTTATATTACCAAGAAACCAAATGAAATTAAGATAAGGTTCTGGAGTATTCAGTAATCAATCCTCAATTTTTATTCCAGAAATAAGAATTACCTATGGGCCAGTGAAAGAAAAATGCACATATAACCATTTAATTCCCCCCGCCTTCCATGTAGCATTGACTTGTAATGATACTCTTTGTCTGAGGTACTTATAAAAATATATATTTAGCAATCGATGACTTTATACTGTTAAAATATTTTTTAGCCACGCTTTCTAAATGCCATTGTCCAATAAGAGCTAGGATGACAGACTCCGTCTCAGCCAGTGACACTACAATGCTCTGGTACCATAACTGTTCCTCAGCATGCAACTTATACTCTTCTGTAGGCTACCTCTGAGCCAATTTGTTAATGTTTTAGCAGACAGAATTGGCTCTGAGTCGCTGAAGAAAAGAAGTATGTAAGCTGCAGAAAAAGAGGCTAACTGTCTGTGTCACAGTGCAGGTTTTACTATAGCCAGGTGCACTTCCAAGAAAATGGCTGAGCAAATTAATATCAACAGTTAGCAGTGGACTGTTGAAGTCCTCTCAGCCTGGGAGGATTGACCAAAAGTACTATTGTTAAATGGCAAGATTTTTGGCCAAAGGTACCACAAGAATTAGAGAATAATTGCACGTGTACACCTATCATAACATCCCCTAGAACTGATACAACAACACCATTTAAGAGTGATTTATTAGGCTCCATTTCGGGAATATATCCACCACACCAAATGAAAGGTGACAGTATTTTCCTAGTTAATGCTGCTCCTTGAAGCCGATATCCTAATACTACTGTTAGAACACCATAAATTACATCTTCTTCCAGGTTGAATTTCATCTTCAAGTGATATGAAATAGAGGTATTGCTTAGCTGTATTTCATATTTCATATATATATATATACATATATATATGTATATGTATATGTATATATATATATATTATAAAATTGTAGTTAAGGTAATTTTAGATTCATTGTCACCTGCCAACAGGTGTTTGAATGTACATATTGAAATATTTGTTAGGGCCGGCCGAGTGGCGCATTGGTTAAGAGCTGGCTTGAGATGCTAGAGGGCCCCGGTTCAGATTCCACATATGAGGGCCAGTGACACTGCCCTCTACAGCTAAGATGCTGAACAACAGCTCAACCTGGAGCTGGGCTGCCATGAGTCGCCGGGGATGGCGTAGGCTGTAGCCCCTGCTTCAGTGGGTTGCCATGGGCTACCGTATATAGCCAGCAGCCAGTGTGAGCGGCCATCCAGAGGCCGGCAACTGATCTGCCTATCCCGGGAAGAGTGCAATGATGGTACCAACTTGGGCCAGTGAAGCAACATCCTCCAAAACTAGACTGAAGAACAAAACGACAGCAGCTTGTCTGTTCCCCTTCCCCCAGTTCCCCAGCACTGTTCCCATCCCCAATTCCCCAATACAAATCTTTAATAATAAAAAAGAAATATTTGTTAAACAGTCAAATCCATGAGAAATTCAAATGCATTTTAATTTCTAACCTTTATATTGATTGACTTGTTAATGCTAGGTCATCTTTTGTTATACTTCCATTTTCTGATTTATTTTTTTGTGTTTGGATTTGGGCCTTTTGTACTATTTTATGTAACAAAATCAGGATATCACTTTTTTTTTTCAGGGTATCACTTTAGAAAACCATTATTTATTTCATTACTTGCTGAGGAAATAGCTACTGTGAGTTCATTTTATGTCTGCAGCGTTCCTAACTCCACCTTTCTGTAGCTTCCCAATAACAACCATTTCTCCCTTCAGATGTGAATTCTTTCTTGTTCTCTTCATACCTATTACTTTTCAAAAACAATCTGATCAATGTATTATGTAATTCACACAAAGGTATAGTTGTGTAAAATTGTGTAATTTTATGGACCAGAAAACCAAGTTTGTGGTGAGATATAGATTTTTGATGGGAAGTGCAGTGATCTTAGGGCCCTAAAACGTGGGTGATAGAGTACTTTCTCTACCACCATCAAGCACTAGTTCTCTCAACAAGGCATGTAGCCTCGCAGGCTGTTTCTTCATCTGTAAAATAAGGGTAGGTGATTGCATCCCCTGCCTTTCCTGCAGTTATTTAGAAGACCAAACACGATAAGGAAGGTAAGAATGTTCTATCATTGTAAAGTGATATGTAAATGCAGCATATAATTATGAGAAAGTAATAGATTGTTTCTAATACTCAACTGAAAGCAAAACAATCACAGTGACCTAGATTATCATATTTCGGTTGTGACTAGGCACTGAAGAAGATGTGGTAAAGTCAAAGAAAACATTCAGAAGTCAAGCAATAGTGAATCAGAGCGCAGAGACCGAACTTATGCTAGAAGGAGATGACGACGCGGTCAGTCTGCTACAGGAGAAGGAAATTGACAATCTTGCAGGTAAGTTTTTACATGTTTTTCTTCTATTAGTTGTAAGTAATAAATACTCACAAGGTTACTGAATATAAAGCCTGTCTCCTGGTGAATAAGTGAGTGCCAGTGGTTGGAACCGTGCTCAATCGTATGAATGTTAATAATTTACTTTATCTCATGTCTAGTATTGAAGAAAGGAAAACGCATATCAAACATATATGTATTTCACTAACAGTAAACAATTAGCATCTAATTTCTAGGTAATGAAGAGCAACTTTTTAATATAGAAGTAACATGTAGCATAAATCGTTCCCATCTAACTGCCTAAATAATTGGGAGGGGACAGGACGATGGACTCGCCGACTAGCATAGGACTGACATGCTAACAGCTCTGAGGAAGAGTTACTTCAGCCAGGTGACCACTGAATTTGCCATTTCCTCCCTGCTGTCACTCTTTGGAGTGCCCCTCCCCATTTCTGGGCTCTCTGTCCCACACCGCTAGTCCCCACCACCAGCAGGCATTTTTTGACCTGATCACCTTCAACTTTCACCTTATCCGAGTACTGGTCTAACAAGATCTCCAGTGACCAGATGGGACATAGGTATCTTACAGTGTTGGTCCATTCCATTGTTTGGGTTTTAAACCACGTTTGAGAAGCTCATGAAAGCAGATTGCTTCATGAAGGTACACATACAATTTTGTACACAATTTCAGACAGTCCACTAACCCCTGGAAACCAGTCCATGGAATCATATCCTGGATCTCGGGTGAAAAACTCCTGCTTTAGAATCTCAAAAAGTGGCTGAGTCTTGCGTCACTTCTGTATTTTCAGCCTATACAACCAACATTGGGGTGTCAGATGGCAATACAGAAGTGGACTTATATTCATCATTCTGGGTACAAAATAGCACTGCTGTTTCCAGGCATGTGCTGAAAATTACCTGGCATGATTTATGAAAGCCTTCAACTCTATTTCTACCAGCTAGAGATTTCTCCTTTTACTAAGAACACGTTCCTGCTCATTGTAAGCTGGAGATGGCACACTGTTCTCCCTCTGAAAAAAAAGTTTGATAAGGTTATTCTAATACCAGTTCCTGGATATGTTTATATTATTACCTTTCTGTATCATGGAAATAGGAAAAAACTATTTTTCCTATTTAAAACTAATCTTAAGGGCCAGCTGAGTGTCTCAGTTGGTAAAGAGCTCACTCAAGAGTGTGAGCTCTGAGCAACAGGGTCCCCGGGTTGATTCATGGCCTGAGCTGAGCTGCCGCTGAGCTGCTAATAGGTGGCAGGATGGCTCAGCTAAAAAAACAAACAAACAAACAAACAAACAAACTAATCTTAAATCTATGAACAAGTGTCTACCTCGAATTCCTAAGCAAATGTTCAAGTTTTGGTTTTGTTGTTTTGTGGTTTGTTTCAGTAGTTCAGAGATTTTATCTGGGTCCTTTTGGAAATTTAAGCAAAGTCCATTATTTCCTTTTGCCCACAGATTTGTTTTGTCTTTTCCTGATCTTACTGTTGAGCCTAAAGATCTAGAAAATTCACAAACATGATTTTAATGTGTTGCCTTTCCTTATTCACATATACTAACAGAAATGTTCAATAATTATATAATTTAGTTTAGACTCCCTGGTCCTTAGTCCCCACTAAAGGCAATTCATTAGTTCAGACAATTTTGCTAGTATTTTGGAGTTTATTATAATAATATCTGCCCAATAATACCAGAGGCAAAATTCAATAAAGACTAATAGCCCCTTTATATTTCTCTCCTCTAATGGTAGCTAGAGTAATTAATAACATTAATTTATGTTTATAAACAAAATTCCCAAAAAGCATTAAGTTAAAATACCTAAACAACAATGAAAGTATGCTTGAAATAAATTATTTACAATTGAATTGTGAGGCTCTTGACCAATTCACTCTGTCAAAACTCCTCTAACGTCTATGAATTTTAAACAGATTTATCTTTGAGCAGATCTGTTTGCATTCATATCCACCTGTTCCTAACTCATACTCTTTTTTGGAATCCTTGTGTCTTAAAATCTTACAAACTGTCCTAAAACATTAATCCCCTAACCTAGTCTATAGTGTTCATTTTTAAATATTTGCAGCCCACAAATATGACCCTGAATTTTGAACGCAGTACAAAAGTAGGGGACGGGTGTTTTATGAAGGGAAAAGAAAGGGTCACAGAAATCGTTGCAGAATATGTAGGTAGGTATCTGTAGATTCATTCTGTAAATGCTGAAGCCTGTTTGTTAATCTAGACTGGCATGAGTGTGACATCACATCAAAATCATTTTTAGAAGTTAATTACAAACCAGTTATTCCTAAATGTAAAAATTATGTAATTTTCTTTGTTGCTCTGACAAATTCTTTTACAGATAATTGTTACCTCTGTCTCAGAAATTAAAATGTGTTAAATAATGTCTTTCTTATTTATAATTTTTCATTGTAAATGGACTTATAGTGCTAAACCGCCTAAAGAAAACTTCACTATCACAGGAGCTCTAAGTCCAAATGAAATCTAGGAGATCTTGCATGTAATTAATATAAGAAATATACCTTCAAAATTATAGAAGTAGAGTTCTTGGATTTTATATGAATGAGTACATCATTTTTATAATAATACAGTAAGCCTAAACCTGCTGATTAGCATAATTGGTTTTTCTGTCTTACAAAACCCTGTTTTGTTGACAGGCACACAGATGAGGAGACCATGTATTATAATTTGTCCATGTGCAATATTTCTTAATAATTAAGTTAAATTCAAGAGAAAAAATTATGCTAATTAGAATAAGAAACTAATAGAAAGTGCTAACTTAGCTAAGATTAATTCTGGTTTTTTGGTTTAAAAGATATGATCAATTTCTGATTATAAAAAGGAAAAAAAGAATAGCTAGCATGTCTTAATAAGAACCAGACAGTGTTTCGAGGGTTTTATGTGCAATAACCTGTTTAATATTCACTGCAACTCTAAGTATACTGTTATTACTCTAATTTTACAAATGAGGATATGGAGGCCAAGAGAGATTAAGTAGCTTGCATGAGGTTAAGAAATACATGGTTTTAAGGGGATCTACTTTTTAAATTATACATGTCTAACCACTATGTTGTACACCTGAAATTAATATAGAATAATTTAAATGTCAAAATAAATAAGTAAAGTGTAAATAAATAAATAAAAAGAAATATATGGTTTGAGCTAAAATACATAGTATATGGTTTGATATACACTAAGTAGTGTATTTAAATATGTATATGTATATACTTAAAGACTTCAAAAATGATGTAAAAACAAGACCCTGTTTATAGCTCAACTTTTACACTGGCTTTATTATACTATATTTTAGAACTCTATGAATATGCATAATTATAAATTTTAGTTTTATTTATGTGTTACCCAAAATTCATTCTTGTAAGTTATAAATTTTGACAGTATTTGTAAGCACAATTTTATTTAAATATTGACCCTTTTGCATGTTTTCCTCCATTTTCTTTGGATTTTTCTAGTTTTTATAAAGATAAAATGTTCCAGTTTTACAGATTTAAATGTCATACAATTTTCTGTTTCACTTTTAGTTCCCTTTCTTCCCAAGCTGTTCATCTCCAGAGGCAAGTTAAATGTGTGTGATTATTAATTGCTCAATTTAATATGTATTGTAGCAAGTAGCTAATATGATTATAATATAGAAGTATGACAATCAATTAAGTAATTAGTATATTAATAACACCTAACTTAGTTATTTTAATTGCTTTTTTTGTTTGCAGTGATTCACCAAAGTAAATTAGCACCTAAGTTTCTTTATATAACCAAAATTTTCAACTTATTATATTATATTTATTACTTAAAATATTATTTTGTTACTTAAAACATTGAAATTAATAAGTATAATTCACCGGATTTTAATCTAAAATCTCAATATATTTTAATTTGAAACTTAAATTAGTTCTTTAAATTATTTTAAAAATATTTTTGTTTATATGTGTGTAAGCTGTTCTTACCAAGAATCCTACATTACATCTATTTAATTACATCTATTTAATGTAAATAACTTAAAAGATTTTTCACATGCCTATGTCAATGTCCAAATGTCCTTCCTTACCTGAAATATCTTTTGCACGTCTCTAGTCTACACCCTTTCTTATCTCCCTCTATCAAAATTTCTGCCCGTGTTTTTAGACCTATTTAAAATACTTTATGAATTATTCACTAGCTAATCTTGCCACCCCATAATATTTTTTGGTAACAACTTTATTGAGATATAATTCACATACTATATACTTGACCCATCTAAAGTGCACATTTTAGTGATTTTTTTTGTATATTCACAGTTATTCACCATCACCACAATTTTAGAACATTTTCTCACCCCCAAAAGAAACCTTATACTTTTTGACTGTCTCCACCATTTCCCCATTCCCCGTGCACACAGCCATAGAGGACCACTGATATTCTTTCTTTGTTCTCATATTTGCCTATTAGGTACATTTCACATAAATAGAATCATGTAATGTGTAGTCTTTTGTGACTGGCTTCTTAGCATAATGTTTTCAAGGTCCATCCATGTTGTAGTGTGTATGTCCCTTTTATAGCGAGTAATATTCCATTACATGGATATACCACATTTGCTTATTCATTCATTAGTTGCTGGACATTTGGTTTGTTTCCATCTTTTGGCTATTATGACTAATGCTGCCATGAACATTCACATACAGTGTTTTATATAAGCATACAATGTTACTTCTCAGGTATATACCTAGGCGTAGAATTGCTAGGTCAAATAATCACTGTTGTTTTGCCTTTTTGATGAACTGCTAGACTGTTTTCCCAAGTGGCTGCATCATTTTGCATTCTCATCAGCAGTGTGCGAGGGTCCAATTTCTCCCCATCCTTCCCAATGGTGGTTATTTATGTTTTTTATTATAGCCACTCCATAAAATTTTAATTATATCATTCTTAAGACATTTGTCACAGAGAGCTTTGTATTGTAGATGCTTTTCTGTATGTTTTCTCTCT